TCAGCTTCCTATTGACCTCCTCTTAAACTGATAATTGTGTATGATTTTCCCCATTGGGAAGAAGATCTTTCCTCTTTCTGGGTTCCTCTAAATTCCCCAGGATGTCATTAAAACTGGCTGGAATGCCTCATCAGACCTACTTTTGTTTAAATATCTCTCTCCTGGTTTCCAAGAGCAAAAGGTTACTTACGGTAAGGGGCAGTGAGCAGCGGTCAGGACCCACTCCGGGTGAATGAGAGACCCCACACAGGGCTCTGGACTGGACTTCAGATAGACCATGTAGGGAATAGTAAAATCTTCTGATAAGTTTGACTTTTCAGTTTCAGAATATTTGGCCAGAATAATTCCTAAGTAATTGATGGAGAAAGAGAGACAAAGAGGTTGAGAAGTGAGGATTGGCTAGGGCAGTGGTCGGCAAACTGCAGCTCGCGAGCCAGATGTGGCTCTTTGGCCCCTTGAGAGTGGCTCTTCCACAAAATACCACATGTGGGCACACACATACAGTGCAATTGAAACTTCATGGCCCATGTGCAGAAGTTGGTATTTTGTGGAAGAGCCACACTCAAGGGGCCAAAGAGCCGCATGTGGCTCGTGAGTCACAGTTTGTCGACCACTGGGCTAGGGTAATGTTTCCCAGCCTAAGATTTTTCAAAGATAAAATCAAGGTCTTCAAATTATATTAAATATATATGTCTTAAATCAGGGAGAATCAACCATGTCACTTAAGTTATGTTTATTAAAGAAACTGACACATGTCTTTGCCAAGCATAGAAGTAAAAAATGAAATATTCCCTGACTTTGCAGGTGAAAGGAATGGAAAAGCTTGGGGTAGGGCCATGAGGCTTCCAGAGCCCCTGACCAGTTCACCTTGATTTCCAGTGCTCACTCTTCTCAAGTCCATCTGCCCACATAAAGGGAAGACATGCTTTTCCTGTGGTTGTCCAGGAAACGTGGCAATCTAGGAAATTACACACTCAAGACTAGAGCACTTATTAGTGACATGTCCTAACATGCTTCCAGGCCTCAGAGGGCTTGGGGAGAGCATTGATGGGATAAGCTGTGCACGAGAGTTGGTTCCTTTTGTTTCGTCAACAGTTCATTGAAAGAAATGCCCTCAGCTTCCTATCTCTTCAGTGTGGTTAGCTACTTCCCTTTCTGACACTTCCCTCCACCGCCCCATCCCCCTCAAGGTTATAACAAGGGTCCAGACTCTCACCAGCTACACTCAGGAGAGTGAAGATGAGACAGCACTTCATGGTGGGCCACGATCTCACCAGGAGCAGACAAGTTGGATCAAATTGGAAATGATCCCAACCGTTAGTCTAAGTGTCCCTGTCAAGAACAACTGGGGGAGGGATGGACATTAATTTGGGGTTAGGGGGGAGAAGCAAGGATCTTAGAGTAGTCTTCAAACTAGTCTTTATCAAAGCTGAGAACTGTCTCTGCTGAGGGTGACAGAGAGGAAGGAGCAGACCCAGTCAAGACCCTGGTGCCTCTTCTCTGACCCTAAAATTCTCAGGAGTCCTGAGGTGTCTACTGACATTTCCCCACCCCTCTCTATGACATAGCCCTTCTCTGTTGGCCCCTCCTCTCTTTGTGACCTCCAACCTCTCTCCCTGCCCTCACTTGTCACCTCCTCTTTTCGAGAATCCCTCATAGAGCCATTCTCATAGACTCATCAAACACTGGGGTAGGAAGCACGTTTAAGAAATCATCCCTCCTCCCTCATTTTAGAGATGAGGGAGCTGGGTCTTCAATAGAAGTTAGTGGCAAAGCCAGGACTTGGAACTGAGTCTATAGATTTCCTCTGACAGATTGAACTTTATCTGAGCCCTGTGCTCCCAAAATACAGCAGTGGGTAACAATAACCCTGGGAATCTTGTATTTTGGGAAATGCTACCCTTCCCCACGTGAATTAGAAGAGACTTCCTCGTGGCACCCATAAGACTTTGGATGATTCCCTGGTTCCTTTGACAAAGTCAAGCACAGACCTTTCCCCTTTTGCCTAAACTAGACACTGACCCTCCAACTCTCCATTCTGAGCTTAAAAAGTGTTTTCCTTATGAAATTAGCTAAACTGAAATAGCTGACCGAGAAGTCCCCCAACAGCAAAACAGCCTCACTGTAAATCTCCCCACCTGTAACTTGTCTATTCCTCCTGATAAAAATGTAAGACAAAACAATCCTGCTGAGACACTGATTTTTAAGTCTGGGATATCTTCTTATTGCAATAGTGTGAATAAAATCAATCTCCTTACCTGTTCAGGTGTTTTTGACACTACTCTTTCCAATGCACCACATTCATTTTTATAAGTTAGCCTTACATAAAAACTTTCCAACTGCCCCCAGAAATATGTAATAAATAGTGGGTTCTATAGTCTATAGTTTTATTTACTTATAGTGTTCTTCTTTGGCCTTGGTATCAGTTTTTAAACATAATCCTATATAATAAAAGGCTAATATGCAAATTGTCCCCTCGACTGAGAGTTCGACCGGAAATTTGACCAGGGGGCAGGGCTGGCTGGCCAACTGCCTATGGCCCCTCCCCTTGGGTGGCCTGGCCCGATTGGTCCTGATTGGTCAGGCTGGCTGGACCCCACCCATGAACGAATTTGTGCACAGGGCCGCTAGTAAGAGATATAAAGTGACAAGATGTGCTGAAAAGGAACTTTGAGATGGCATGAAGAAAAAATGATTCATTTGTCTTTTCATATTTTTTTCATCTGATCTTTCATCTCTTATATATCTCACTTATTTTGTCAGGTTTCTGAATCTTCCCTCTACCTGAGGTGGTTCGGTGAGTAGGTGAATATTGATGGTGGTGATGAGGTGGGGTAGAAAAACCTTTCAGAGGGAACAGGGAAATCTTTCAACTTTTTTGTTCTGGAGGGAAGCCTGATATGCTTAGCTAAGTAGATCTAAGGCTACATATTTAATAAAGAAAAGTTATATATGAAATGAATTTAGGTTATATGCAAACATAAAAGCAACTAAATGACAACTAAGGAAATAAGACAGGACACATCAATTGTGCCCAACTAGTTAAGAGCCTTGAATGCTAAGCTCAGGAATTTGGACTTTTATCCTCCTGGCAGCAATAGGTGATATTAAAGGCTCCAGACTGCTCTCTGCAAGTATACCATCCCTAGTTACAAAGGGATAGAAAATTCATAATTGGAGCCTGTATCTTTCTATGCTCTTCTCCACCAAGTTACCTGTTATGGATTGCATGTTTGTGTCCCTCCCAAAATTCATATATTCAAGCCCTAACCCCAAAAGGGATGGTAGTAAGAGTTGGGTCCTGTGGGAGGTAAATAGGTTTAGATGAGGTCATGAGTGTGGAATCCCCATGATGGGATTAGTGTCCCTATAAGAAGAAGACATTACAATGAGCTCTCCCAGCCATGTGAGGATAAGTGAGATGGTAGCTGTCTATAAGGAAGTAGGCTCTCACCATTTCCTGCTGGGACTTGATCTTGGACTTCCCAGCCTCCAGAACTGTGAAAAAATTGTTCAAGCCATGAAGTCTATACATCTTTGGTTATAGCAGCCCAACCCAATTAAGACATATTTCTCCTTCAACTGTTCGCTGGGACCACAAACATTTTCCTCTTTCAAACCTCCTTCATCTCCAATATTTCCATGCTCAGACCCACTTGTGTCTTTTTCCTTTAACCATATCAGATATGCACGGAAATCATGTGTTGGGAATTGTACTCTAGTCCATCCTCTGGATGATCATGGAAGAGCTGGGGGAGGGTGTTGAAGAGCTAACCCAGGGTGGCCATGCTGCCTTTCTAGACAGGGCTGAAGAGAACAAATAACTCCCCTATTGCCAAGACTTTTATTACCTCAAAGTAATAGATCTATAGTCTATAAACTTATCTGCACTAGCACTTTTTTTTGCTTATGATTTAAAATAGTACATAATTTGGGTTGGGGTTTTGGAGGGCCTTGTGGTGGGATAGGGCCACAGATTATCTGCAGGCATAATGCCTACCATAGCAATAAAATTCCATTTGTAAAATAAGAAAGATATTGAACAACCGCACATGGGTAGGTGAAACCTTGAATAATGCAGGACATCTGTGATTTTTAAAACTCCCTCCTTCTAGAGATTTTCATTTTTCTAGCCTCACAGTATTTCAGAGAGATTAGAGACAAAAGAGAGAGCATAGTGTCAAGCAATAGTGGTGCTTTGGGAATAAGGACAGCCAGGGCAACTCCCAGCTTTCCTACGAGCTAGTTGAATAACTTTGGGAAGTTGATTTTTACTTTCTGCAAGTTAGTGTCACTACCTGTTTAAAAATGTGATGGTAACAGTTACCCCTATTCGTATGCATCTTTATATCCTCAACTAGAGGCCTGGTGCATAAAAATTTGTGCACTTGGTGAGGGGGGAGGGGTCCCTCAGCCCGGCCTGTGCCTTCTCATAGTCTGGGACACCTCAGGGGATGACCACCTGCTGGCTTAGGCCTGCTCCCTGGAGGATTGGGCCTAAGATGGCAATCAAACATCCCTCTGGCAGCCCGGCAGCCCTCGGGGGATGTCCACTTGCCAGCGGGGAGCAGACCTAAGCTGCAGTCAGATATCCTTAGCGCTGCTGAGGAGGCAGGAGAGGCTCCCACCACCACCGCTGTACTGGCAGCCATCAGCCTGGCTTGTGGCTGAGC